TACAGTATTGTTGTTTTATAGTTATTTGTTAATGTAACCCAATTTGTGTTCTTTGAAATTGAAAAGGATATCGCATTGTGTTTGTTACATTCATTGCAGTTGTATAGGCTATGTGTTAAGTGTAATTTGGCATGTCCTATTTATGGACATGCTTTTATTTTGAAGGAGAGTTAGCGCAGTTGACAGGAAGTTGTTGACAGAGATTAACGGAGAAAAGTAATATCTACATATAAAGACGGAGAAAGTAAACGATAACGTTTATGGTTAAGTGTTAGCACCCCCCGAAGAGGCACAAGCTCTTACGTTGATATTGGAGATTTCAATAAATTCAATTTGAAAAAAAAACGGGGAAAAAAACCAAAAACGAATATCTGAATAACGAAATTGAAACCCGAATAGTACTCCAACGAACGAATATTCGGATATTTTGGTACAGTAGGGCTGTACCCGAATAATATAATAAAGTTATAGTAAATAATAACAAATTCCAGTGTTAGAATTCCATAATTCCATATTCATAAATAAAATGATATGCAAATAACATTTTCTTGGCTGTGGACTTGTACTCTACATAATTATGTTGAGCTCATGGTAATCTAATTCAATAAACAATAACTGCAATGAACAGATAGCATTTTCTGACTCGTAAAATGATTGGATATGGTGTAATTTGGCAAATGATTCTGTGTTGAAAAATGTATATCTTTAAAAACTGCGTTGGTGTATTAGGGCGGGCCATACTAATTTTTCTTGTAAATCGATCGAGAGGGGTGTTCAAATAACGTATTTTGGTGTGTAGAACACAAATCTATTTAGATGCTTTTATTTTGAAGTTGTTGCTATGGAAACAACATGACGGAGAAAAAAGTAATATCTTCTACATATAATAACGGACAAAGTAAAGAATGAAGTGTATGTTTAAATGTTAGCACCCCCCGAAGAGGCTCAAGCTCTTACGTTGAGTCTGGAGTTTCAATACATTCGGAATTTGACCGTGTAAAATGTCCTCTTGGGTTACCGTACAGCCAATGCGTGACGTCATTGGTAAGCGTAACGGACCCCGAACACATCTGGTAGGCCGAACACATATGGTACCTACAACGGAATTCCCTCCTAATTCTGTCCTACGCTCCCAAAAGGTGAGGGACCTGAAAGGACAGCTAAATGCACAGCAGTCAATTTTCACCAGGCCCAACAACAAGAGCAAGGCTGCTACCATAGCATCTTATCGTGTCAGTCACGTTCTTGCAAAACACATGAAGTCTTTCAAAGACGGCGAAGTTGTGAAAGAAGCATTCCTGGAGGCTGCCGACGCGCTTTTTGGGGACAGTAAAAATAACAGTATAGCATTTCAACAGGTTTTTGATATAATAAAAACTCAAGTTAGATACCGTTATTAATCAGCTGTAAGTTTTAGTTTGTTTGAACTTATTCATTATAATTATTGTACAAAATGGTATAAGAATGCAAACTTTAAGATCTGTTCTGTTTAAATTGATTATAGTCTATTATCAATTCAGGTTAAGAAACTAGTGTTGCTTGCATCCTATTTTAAAGGCATTTATTTTTATACTACTAAAATGCAAAAAAAAGAAAAGGGTTTGATTCTATTAATTTTGTTTTTTTTATTGCACTCTGGCAGCAGATTCCTGTGTAGCTTCAGATCTGAGTTGTCTTATTAGTAAAACTAATTTATACTTTTGTAGCAACACTATTTTTATATAATGACAAAGAAAGGGTTCAGTCTTTTCTTTTTTTCCTGTGTCATATGTGGCAGCACTGTTCAATGTTTCTTGAAAACATTACCCACTGTAGTTTGTGACGTGTGAATAAACTCCCAACTCTGTATCAACAACACTGTTGTGTAACTTCAGTTAAATACTTGTGTGTGTGTAGATTAGAAAGAGGTAAGATAAAGGATCTGCAGTATTTTATGAAGTATTAATCGTACAAAGTCAGTTTTATACAAGTAGAAGTGTGTATTTACCTGGTAGTCGGCTGTCAGTAATGGCTGCGCCTCTCTATTTGGACTGTAGATCTCGGCAGACTGGCCACTTTAAAAGTAGCTCTCGGTTCAAAAAAGGTTGGGCACCCCTGATCTACACTGTCAAGGTTCAAGGTTCTTTATTGTCAAACTAACATAGCTACAGAGTAATTATGTCGTTGAAAATCTTATGTCACTAGCAGCCGGCTAGACTGCAGACTGCCGAGGTGGGCCGGTCGAGAGACCCGGGCTGATTTGTAGTCCCAGTCCGCCGCTGCCCACGGGTAAATGTCTTCCCAGTCTTTGTTGTATGTGCATCTTATTCTTTTCTTAGCTGTAGTTTCAGTTTCCTCCATTTTCCATAACCTGCTGCGTCGCCTGCGTTATTGACTTTCATTGTTGTTGTTTGGCAGGGCCGCGGCGGTGTGTGTGTGAGTGAGTTACTCTCATTGGTTAACACTTGACCAGCACCCGCCGTGTCTTACAGTTTGATTGACAGCAAACACAGCTCCGTGATGATAGCCTTCCCTGCTTTCTCAACAGCCATTGGATAAATCTGATTTTAGAAAAGCGTTTTAGCCAATCAAAATGAAATATGCGGGACATCGTCTCAATTTGCGGGATGCACCAAAAGTCGTGAAAATGCTGTGCAGTCCCGCGCAAAGCGGGACATCTGGTCACCCTATATGTCACAGGCTTCTCCAACAATGCAACTGAAAGAGGACCAGAAACACATTAAAAATATAATAAAATGTGGAGACTTTGGGATATTTATCTCCCATTCTTTTACTTTTCGGGCATTTTACAGACCAAACATGTCGTTGATGTCACTGTTTACCAAACTACCACTTTTTCTGAAAAATGCATAAAATGATGCAATATATGTTAAATACATGGTTTATACATGTAATTACTGGGGTTCCATTTCTTCTGATTACCTAATTTGGGCGTGCAGATTTGCCGCGAGCAAACCTACCTCTTTTGGATTTGGAAAGGTTGGCATGTATGCCTTATGGGACACAAACATGTCCGTGAAACAAGAGATGTAACACAAGCTGTTAATTTCACACGCCCCAGTGTTATTTTTCAGCAGCCTGTTCTCACACAACGCAACATGCAGTGAGAGAGTGGGGAAACTCTGGGGTACTGTTTACAACGCAGGTAAAAACTTCATGTGCGCCACACAAATCCCCCTATTTAAACAATGACTTGTAGTAGTTTAGTTAATAAATGTAGGACATACACAGGCCTAAGAGACACAAAAAATGTTCTGAAGGAGAGTGACAACATTCCAAAAGAATATGCCACTGCGCAAGTATTATTGATGTTTATTTTTTTTGAATGTATGCATATCATTTCAAGTTGCAGTCAAACAAACCTTGAGGAAGCTTTTAGCTGCTGCACGGCACTGCTCGTAGTATTGCCTCCACGTCAGGGTCACCCACTGGCCCTCTGTTTTGGAAACCAAGGCGGGACGATCCCCGTAATTTTCCACCGTCTCCATGAAGAGCTGATGGACGGTAATGGGGGTTTCTGAGGCCGGGCCCGAGCCCTCCATCCTCAGCCGCACCGCCTGGTCTCTGCTGGTGCTCCAGAGCTGGTCTGCTGGGGCCAGAGCGGTCTGTGCTTTGGCCGTCGACAGAGGAACTGCCCTGGGCTCTTCTGTATTGGGACAACATGGGCAGCCGTGTTTACCCGCCATTTGTTAATGGTTAAATACAAAAGACACCACACCGAGACACAGCCAGCTTCAGAGGAGTCAGGTGAGTGAGAGGACTCAGACAGAGCAGCCGCGGCGCCAGGATTTCAATTGTGGGTGGGCCAATGTAATTTCGGCTGGGCCGGTTCAAATGTTTTCTGTCTGACTTTTTTTGTAAAGCACTTTGAATTGCCTTGTGTTGAAAGGTGCTATATAAATAAACTTGCCTTGCCTTGCCGTGCCTTGAGGGTACTTTATGAGCTTTGGCTTTCAACTAAAGACACAGCCACGCAAAAATGCCAATGGTGGCACGCGTGCCAGGGGTTGCCGACCCCTGCTATATGCATATAGGCCCATACTTTCTTATCTGCTTTCGAATTTTTGTACTTAATGATGTATTTTCCTCAAAACTTTAGGATGATAGGGGTATGATTAGTTTGCTCCCTTTGCTAAACCTTATTTTGTTCTTCTGCAAATAGTGAAAAAAACAGAACTTCAGTCTGGTTCTAAAAATATTTGACATTTTCTTAAAGGTCACACATTTAAAGATCTGTCTGCATTTCTGGCAGAGGTGGGAGGCGTACTCAGATGCTTAAATAAATATATAAATATATAAATATACCAGAGTGTAGAAATACTCTGTTATAAGTAAAAGTCCTGCATTCAAAATGTTACTGTTAAGTAAAAGTACAAAAGTATTATGATCAAAATAAACGTTTAGTTACTTTAGTACTTAATATGCAAATTGGTCAATTTCATATATAAATAAATATGACATGTTTTGATTATAATAATTGATGCATTAAAGTATTATCAACGCTGGTAAAGGTGCAGCTAGTTTTAATTACTTTGTATGCTGCAGGGTAGCTTGTTAATTAAATTGAGCAGAAGTATCATTAAATGGAAATTCTCAAGTAAAGTACAAGTCTCTCAAAATTGCACTTAAATACAGTACTTGGGTAAATGTACTTAGTTACTTCCCACCTTTTTTTGGATACACTAAAACTTAACTTAATCTTATCAAGTTATCGTCTTATTTTGTATTGATCCCTTTTCTTTAGTTATATTATCCACAAGTACATGTTGCTATTCCCCTTTAGATTCTAGAGACCTAAAATGTTATGACTGTTTGAGAGCCTATCAGATTCACAAACTGCAAAAAACTATTTTTGCTCCATCCTACCCTGAAGCTAGAAATGAGGGTCATTCATAAGTCAACCTTATGTTCAGGTGTTATCTGAGGCTACACCACACCTCTTAGCTTAAGAGTTATACTGCCTTTTCAGATCTCATCAGTCGCTTTTAAAGATAATCAGAATTTCACAATAAAAGACAGCACTATTAGTGATGCAGTATATTGTACAAATGCATCAGATTAGTTAGACTCTCACCTAGTGAAAGTCCTTCAGTGGCTTCCTCCAGCTCGGACGTTGAGCTGAGCTCGGATGTGATGGCTTTTCCGTTCAGAGTGGAGTTAATCTTTAAGTCTGTGTCTGACATAGCCTTCTGAGTACAGCTGCTGTAGATGAAACATAGTTTTAAATCAAATGGCCCTATAAAATCTACATGAAAGATTTATTTTCTTTGGGACATGCATTATTTTACATACCTCTCAGCCATGACCGCGACACCATTGCTCTTAACCGAATCCTCTTGGACACTCATCTTGTAGTTGCTGGAATAATAGACAAAACAATCTTAGGACGACCAAAAACAAATTAGCATTAAGACCCTTTACTCCAAGCAGATCAGAATATCTTTAATGAAACTGAACTGCTCTGGTAATTTATACAAGACTGACACCAAAGTCATTGCAACAATGTGTCAGAGCAAGAGGCTGCAATTGCTAAATGTCCAAACTCTGAATATTGTGTCAGAATGCATTGCAGGACATCTGCATGCATTCGATATAGTAGACTACCCTTTGACCCAAATACCCACACTACAATATGCTGTTGCTGTATCTCCGACATCGCTGGTTAATACAATTTGAGGTGAAAAATAGTATGTAATGACATGTAAATATTGTAGAAAATACATGATCATGGCTTCAGGGGTTCCTTGTGTGGACTGTGAAATAATGCCATCTAGTGTTTAAACCTATCAACTACTGTGTAAGATCTCAAGTTGTTCCTTCAAATAACTTAACTTTGTAAAGAATTCAATCAATTCAAACACTCTTTCCAAGTAAAAGTCATACATTAAAGATTTCCCTTAATTTAAAGTACAGCAAGTATTAACAGCAAATGTACACAGAATGGTTCCTTTCAGAGAGTTTGGTTATTACATATACCGTATTATTGTAATAATGTATATCACATATCAATACTGATGCTTTACCACATAGGCAGCATAGGCAGCATGTCAATATGTAATAGCTGGAACACGTTTTAATTACCTTACATACTGTTAAGATTATTTATTCTACACAAAAAAAAGTTAAATCTAAGCAGAATACCATTTTATAAATTGATCATTATGTTGAAATCTGTAAAATAACTCTGTGTGAAGTGAAGTAAAAAGTACAATAATCCAGAAATCTAGCAGAGTTGAAGTAGAAAGTATAGCATACAATTGAATTACCTAACTCAATGATGTGATTAATAACAGCACTTAAGTAAATGTGCTCAGTTACTTTTCATCACTGCAAATTAGCGACACATTCTCTAATTATATATGGCATAAAAATAATTTTGGATTAAGATCTGTCAACCCAGCAGATTCTCTCTCTGGCCTCTAGTTTTGGAGATAACTTTGGTCAAAAATGTCTTTGGACCAAAGTTCAAAACTACAGTGTGGCAATATGAAATGGCAACGGCAAAGTCTAATATTCTGCAAATATCAATTCAAATTCCCTGCAAAGTAGATTTCAGTTCCATTAACAACTTGGATTTGTACATTACCCAGAAAGCAGATGTAACCATTGAAGAACACTGAGTGTTATATTGAATCTTTTGGTAAAAATATGTAGAAGAAGTCCTATAATCACATAGGAAAATGTAGTTACCGAGGTACAGTATAGTGACTGTAAGCCTTGGATAAAACAATTAATGCTTGTAGCTGCTTGTCTAGCTTTTATAGAGCACATTTTATTGGGAGAGTGATTTATAGTAAAGAAACATTTTGTTGACCAAACAATTAAAAGCTTGGCAGCCTGCCCACATCAAATGGGGGATATTCCCTATGTTAGTCATGTGTTTGTCACAAACATGACTGGAGAATATGCTTCCCTCAACATGTCAACAATTACAAGTGCGTGCATATTTCTCAGCCTTAAAATCATAAATGTAATTAAGATATGTGTTTATTGTGTTCTGCAATTAAACTGATGTCAGCTTAAGCAAAAAAAGAGGTGTACCATGTCAGTAAAATAATGTTTTTTGTGCATCATCCTCATACAGGAAAGCTAGTCCCCATAGCAACTTATTACAACAAAACACACCTGACATAAGACTTTTCAGACTCTAAAAATAAAAAAAGCAATATGCTTAAAGGTTCCCTACCTTCTCCTGGCAGAGAGCTGATTGACAGTAGCTGTCAAGTGCAGAACAGACTGAAATCAACCTTTGCCCGGCGCAGGCGTCGACTGTTGCCCCCTGGAGAGAATATCAGCCTATAGTGGACTTGCATGAATGCATACCAACTTCCCCTGCACTAATGCCTCGTCCAGAGCTTTGCACACTTTCGCAATCCTCTGAACATCTGCCGCTGAAGCTGGGTCCACCGGTTAAAGATCCACCAATATGCTTTATCATAGGTTATGGCTCAAGGTGAAGACGACCCGTCACCTCAGACACAAACAGTCTGCAGCTGGTAGAAACCTGCTCTGTTTGTAATGATTATACCAGCAAACTGTTGGTGTTGGTGACGGTTCAAAACATTTGACAGTTTAGAGCAGATTTTATTGAAACCTTTATCATCCCAAATCGATTTATGAAGACAAGTCATTATCAGATATGCATGACCAGGCCTGTCAGAGAAATAATGATACAACTAGATGAGTTCTCTCCGTTTATGACAAGACTTTAGACTTTGGACCATCAAAAAGTTACTCAACAGCTGAACCAAACATGTGCAACTTTTCTTACAAATCAAGAGAGAACTGTCAAGATGACACACTAAAATGCACAACATATTCAAAAAATGTGCTGATATCCTGACTTGACTTTCTTAAAATCTCCTTTTATTCTTCCACTTTTCTAACTCCATCTAATTATTTGGGATTTTTATAAAGAACATAAGAGAAATGATTCCTACTGGATGAAAGCGGTTTAAAATGTCCAAAGATCTATTCTGGTCACGTTTCACTACAGCCCTGATTTCATCTCCTCTTGCTGAGCTTCATATCTGTCTGTCTGATAACCGCGTTCAAGGATATTTCATAAGTAAATATAGAGGAAAGTTCAACCGTCCATTTCCCAAATGATCTGTAGTTACCTTGCTCACAGGCACTGGGGTCAGTGAATCATCCCACTCAGTCACACCATATGTGTCCCTGCTCCGACCCTCACTGCTCATATCTCGGCACATGCCATCTGTGAAGGGTGTGAATGGTAACTGAGGGCATAAATCAGCAGAAAAGTAGACCGCACACAAAGAAAACAGGGTTCTCCGTGTCAAAAGGTTGTCCAGTGAGAACAAGATATTAGAATACATAATCTATCACTGATGCTTTAATGCATTTCAATGTTCCAGCTGATGTGGAGCACATTTGAATCACTTTGCATTATGTTGGAAAGTTTAACCTATAGCACAGTATCATATTTTATAAAGTGATTTCATAATCTGTTTGTAAAATCTTTATCTGTTTTCTATTTTTGTGAGTTATCGTACTTTGAGTCAATGCACATTCCAATACTGCAATAAAGCAACACATGTACTGATATGTCATTTTAAATTTGTAATTCAAATTGATAAGATTAAGATCTGTCTGGCCTCTAGTTTTCAAGATAACTTTGGTCAAAATTTCTCTGCAAATCCAAAGTTCACACCACTTGCAAAACGACTGTGTGGCAATATGAAGTGGAAATGACAAAGTATTGTATTTTCCTAGTAAACCTCACAAAGTGCCCAGTGTAAAGTAGAATTCAGTAGGTTACTCACTTTCCGCCAGTGCAAACAAGCAAAACACATAACGGTTAATATGTCTGAAGCTTTTATTGTGACAAATCGCACCCTAAACGCAAGATTTACAGGGAACTAATGTAAACGCCATTCTACAGCCATTCACTTGGGCAATCAATATCCAATTCATAATGAGTTAAAGCAAAATGATGTCTATGGCCACTTTAATGAATGTTGTCTGACCAGAGACAGGGATAAATCTAGCAAGAAGTGAAATGTGTTTCACTGATAAAAAAGACCTGATAATATTGCTGTTAAGATTACACCTGTAACTGGTAGTAGTAGTATAATCTGCTGACAATTTGTTGTTTTTCCACTGACTGTCAGATAAAATAACCAAATTGACCTTTTGCCATTCCATATTAGAAAGAATGCCTTTATTTGCAGCCATATTAAACATCATGTATTCACTTTTGAATTAGTCCATTAAACAATTATTTGTGGTGAATTTACTTTTTGTACAGAAGGATGGGAAGAGAATATGACCTACACCCATCATATATCAAGTCATACATGTCGCCATTATCCTGGTGGCCACGCCAACTGTCTTCCTCCCAGGACGTGGAGGTGAAGGTGGTAAACTGACTGAGCACCGTGCTTTCCATCGTTGATCACTGTATGGCAGAAAGATACCCAGAATTTAGTTTGTACTTCACTAAGCAGCCTGTATATATTATAGGTGTAGCTGTCACCTACCAACTCTGTAGCCTTCAGTTAGAGATTCTTGCTTCGCCACTGTTTTGGCAACAATCAACAAATGTCCTAAGAGCTGAAATTTAATTTGAGTTAGAGACATGGTTTTCATAGGGGTGCATAATATAAATTAAAATGTATGTTTTAAAGATTAAACATTTTGGGTGTTGTTACTAAAGGACCCTTTGAAGCAAAATGTATTACATTCTTGCTCTTTGCATTTGAATGTGTAACATGTCAGATTTACCTGTATTTAAATGTACTAAATCAATTAAATTGTCTTGCTACACTTTCATATTAGGTTTTTGACTATGGTAATGCATTTAACTGACTGTTAATAACTAATAATACAGGAGACATATAAGGCATGTTGGATTTATGTTACAAAATGTGTGTGAGCTCTAAGTAGAAGTATGTTTACATACCTGTCACATGTTTTTCAATAACTTCTGGTCTGGAACTATTCTTAATTGTTTGGGGTAAGATAAAGTTGTAAGAATTTAAACCAAACTCAGAGAAGGCCTTATTGGCCAACATTAATGTCCATCTTCACTAACTCTCTTGTGTCTGATGCGTGGGAAAATCCCTGCAGTAAGGCTCCTAAATCTGTACCTTAAAAAAAAAGGCAGTAGTATAAATGAAAATACATACAAATAATGTATGAATGAAAATATGCCATCCATATATTGTGAATGTGGTGAATTGTGAGTTGTATTCCAAATCTCACTCACAACCCCTAAACAGGAGTGGCAGGTTGAGCACATTGATGGAATAACATTACCTCAGCATCATCATCTTTGGCCTCACTTAATCTGGGAATAGGGACCCTTGGAATAACAAGGAAGTGAACAGGTGCCTGTGGGCTGATATCCCTGAATGCCAAACACTGATAAACACACAAAAACAACATTAATTAAGTGTTTAGTTGCACAACTTCTTAACATCAACAAGCTGCTGATTGATCTGTGGTTTCCACGTGGAACAGGCCAACATGATAACATGTTTTGTTTACCTTCTCATCTTCATAAATTATATCTGCAGGGATGCTTTTGTCGATCACTTTAGAGAAGATGGTTGGAGCTGGGGAGCCATACTTGTTGCTGGCCTCCTCTGCCAGCCTCACCTCGTCACTCTTTGTGCACAGTGGTCTCTGGAGGTCAGAAAGACACATCACACACCTGTGATCTGAAAAACGGATGCTAGCATACAAACAACACAACTTCTGGGGGGCACAGTTCACCAAACCTCTTGGTGGTGGGGCACTGCAGAATCCCCACAGCCACCACCAGGGCTGGTAGGACAATCGTTTTCAAAATGCTCAGCTGCACACGAGGAAAATAAAATGTTTATGAGAATGAGATGGATTATTTTCAGACCAGCTACCTCGGCTCGACAAACACGGTGCAAGCGGTGGAGTTGGACCGTTCTCGTCCCGTGTAACTGCGTCCGCAAAATCTGACGAAAATACATGTTTAGCTAACCAGCTAATGTATTGTTTCGGAAGTATGTTCCAAGCTTTATCTCGTGTCTTTTTTAACACAACACTGCACAGTTTAAAAAATCTTGTTCACAGACTACAACTCTTTACTGTACATTGGTGTTGCCTTCACGTACCCTTGTAACGTGTGTTTACCCTTTCTGAATCACCTCTGGTATAGGACTTGTCTCGGTTGGAGACATAATTTGCTGTATTTTCCCCTCATTAATTGTTAGATATGACTTAATTGCTAATTGTCTCCAAATATTGCACCTGGTACTGTATAGTTACGTTCTTTATTCTTCTTATTTCCATGATAATGGTGTGCTTATGTCAAAATTACGATATCTTTAAATGCGTCCAAAGGGGGCGTTTCCGTTGCTTCAAGGGTAGGTTCAAGAGCTCTAACGTTCTCTAATGTATAGTTTCAAACTTTAGACTTTAAACTTTAAATCACATAATATGGCCTCAAACTCAAATAAAGTAAAAATATGGAGCTTTATTGTATTAGTTCATATATAGGGTTGATGTGTTTAGACCATAGACTGTATATATCAAGGTTAGACATGAAACACTCTCCAGTATGGTAATCCCATGTTTATTACTTTTCGTGCCGCAACGGGCGCTGTTGTGGGAGAAACTTAGATTTTATGTCAACGAAAGAAGAAGTCAGATAAGAAACATGGCGGCCCGCACACGCCTGCCCTTGCTCTTCCCTAAAAACCTGCCTCCATTTAGGAACCAAAGGCTTGCACACACAGAGGCGGCCGTCAAGGAGCCCGCGTATCCGCCCATCATCTCATCTCTCACGGCTAAAAGCAAATCTGCCCGGGGGAGACAGGTTGACGAGCAGGTACAGAAGATATGTGCCTCTCCGGTGGAGGAGAAGCTCTCCCTCATCACTCGCATCCAGCGGATGAAATTTGTGGTTTACCCTCAGACTTTTGCAAGGAACGCGGACACATGGTACCAGCACTTCACCAAGACCGCATATATCCCCGGCCTGCCCGAGAAATACACCCTGAGCCCGGAGAGGGAGACCGGGGGAGAGGAGGAGCAGCCGGCCGCTGCTCAGACCACAGTGCCGGGGGTTGGACATGATGGGTTCACGGACATCCGATCCTTGGTCACTCGTGTGATTTTACTGGAGCACTGGCAATTGAGGAAACGCATACCTTTCCTGTACAGAAAGCAGGAGCAGACGGTTGGACCTTTTCTGAGAAACCTGGTGACTGAACTCTCATTCAGTCTGGCCAAATACAACCCACTGTTCCTCTCGTCCAGTCTGGGTACGGATCATTCTTGTGGCACCAGTCAAACTTTGGAGAGTTCCTCTGCTTTAGCATCCACTTTAAACTATATTTGTGGCAACACTGTGAATGTGGCTAGTTTCATATGTGGACCAGTAAACAAAGTTTTATTCTAATCTTTACTAAGCAATTGTAGCAGGTTGTTATGAACACCTTCACCAATAATGTGACATGCTTGCTACTTTCTTAGTGAACATATTAACTCACTAAAGTTAACTGGGAGCTGTAGTAATTAGTGTATCATGGGAAAATTGCATGGCATCAACCAGCAGTGCCAAACATTTTCTAGTGCAATCTTCTCAAACGCTCTCAGAAACTTTTTTATGCCCAGGTGGCTTGGAATATGTGTTCTAATTTGTACTTCACCTCACCAAAAGTGCTGCGTAATGCTTACAAATACATATACAGTACATCTTTAACAAAGTGTTATTTAATTTGTTTTAATACTATTGCCGATACAATATGTTACTTGACTTTGGAACTGATACAATATCTAAAGTTGAGCAGTAAAAATATGTTTTTTCATTCAACAAAAAAGCCACACAAACAGCTGAGAACTTACAAACACAAGTGAAATACATTCTTAGCTAATAGGGGAAAATGTATCATTTGAATATAAGAGAAAACATATGAAGTTAACAATGATGTTGAACTGAACAGATATATAAATATTACAAAAGCCAAAAAGTTCAAATGAGGACAACACATAGATAGACCATAGATCCTACCTGGTATCTAGTTCTAGATCAAAATAGCAATATCATTGTGCATTCTTACCTTTTTTAATTTTCCACAGACACAGCGTTTTGAGTCATATTTTCTGTGTTTCTCCATCAGATATTGATCCCAATGTACATTTTTACTGGAGAAGGGGACAGAGAATCATCCCAAAGGGACATCGAAGAGGTCGGCAAGAGCCAACCAGATTCCAGATCGATGACCGGCCAATTATTCAGATCAGGATAACTGAACAACTGCCCCAGGTACACATCATTCTCACATTATGAAATGTATGTTATACAAAATCTGTCAATATTGAATTGTCATGAATCCTACCAAACTAGAGCAAGGTTTTCTACCAGTGTCACATCATAATAACATATAAATAACAGCTTCCATTTTATTTGTAATTTTAATTTTAATTTCTCTTAGTTCATCTCGCTGGAGGACTCTTATGCTGCTGAAGTTCAAGAGGTCACTTTGTCTCCCAGCGTCATGCCTCTCTTCAGAAGGCAGTATGACAACAACATTTTTACAGGTAACACGAGAGCAGTCACATCCAACGTTTCTCACTTTTTCATGATGTGATTTCAGAGTAGCCAAAAGAACAAATAATGATTGTATGTTTGTTACATTTTGTAGTATAAGTAAAATTCTCATTATTCAGTGACTTCTGATGCCACTAGGGGGCCCAAACGTGCAGCTGTTCAGTCAACAAAAATGACAAAGTGTGGGTCATTTATTCCAAAGAGATGGCTGTTTTTGGAGATGTCAAATTTGGAGGAAAAAAACCGTAATCAGCTTATTCTACCCACTGACTAGCTATCAAACATTTTCAGTTGTTCTTACAATGGACGTAAACCTAGATCAACTAATTGTTGCATCTCTGACAAAAATAAATTCCAACAGTCTGTTTCATACAACAGCGGTCATTAAGTCGCAAATATGGATGGAGAATTACAAAACAATTATAAAATTATCATCCTGGAGAAAAATATAGAAGCCTATAGTGTTTTTCCTTAACCCTTTCTCTGCAAGCTGTGTTCTGTTTACATTAAACTTGTCCTCTGGTTCTCATCAACAGGGGCGAAGCTACCGGACCCGGCCTGCTACGGTCACACTCAGTTCCACCTGGTGCCGGATCGCTACCACAGAGACAGGATGGCCCGGATGCAGCAGTCCGATCAGGTGGAGGTCTTCCTCCGAGCCAACGCACTCACCAGCCTCTTCGCCTGGACCGGAGCTCAGGCCATGTACCAGGGTGAGTAATAGGGGTGGTAGAAATAATCGATACAGCATAGCATTGCAATACTTTGCGTGGCAATATTGTATCGATACACAGACGCCAAGTATCGATATTTTATTATATAAGCTATTCATATTGCAAATCCAAATTAGCTTGGCAAAGCTACCATCAAATACTGAGCGAGCTAAGAAAATAACTCAATCATCAGCTACTTCATGTGCAAAGACCTCCGTCCGTACAGCGTTGTGGAAAACGAAGGCTTTTGTCACATGTTAAAGACACTGGAACCCAATATATCATGCTATCATATCAATATATATGCGCAATATATTGCAGTATATCGTTTCGCAATACTATCGTATCGTGAGGAGCCTGGTGATTCCCTAGTGAGTAACACAGGGACAGACATCAGATAACAATACCATTTATATTTTTAATGATTCTAGATTAGTTTATTCTTTTATTGTATATGAGTGCAGAATCCCAACTCTATTCTTCGTGTATTTGAAATCCAATTTAACCTCATGGAGACTATAGTAAGTCTTTGGGACATGTGTTAGGAAAGAACATCTAGTAAATCCAAAGGTGCTTTTTCACATTTAGTATACCTTTCTTCTTTTTTTGGTAGTAACAACAATTTTTCTCAAATATCAGTCCATTGAGATGTAGCAGTGGTCGAATCACCCTGACACAGTTTGCATTAAAGTCTCTGTTAAGTGGATTATAATTTAATTGAAGAAATTATATGACACTTCCCCCTCACCTCTGTAGGTTTCTGGAACCACGAGGACGTCACCAGGCCTTTCGTGTCCCAGGCTGTGATCACAGACGGGAAGTTCTTCTCCTTCTTCTGCTACCAGCTCAACACAGTGGCCCTCTCTGTGGAGACGGACGCCAACAACCCCAGAAAGAACCTCCTGTGGGGCACCGAGAGCCTGCGGCTGTACGACAGCGTGCAGGACGGAGAGGTGGTGGGTCTGAACGACGACGTCCTCAAGCTTCTGGTTCAGTTCCTCATGAACAAGCAGTAGACGTTCTCCAGGTTTCTGTGTTGTAACATTTCTTTAGGGAGATTGTATAAATGTGGAAGGTTTTGCAAGAAATCAGGAGGAAAACCCCAACATGGCGGAAATTAGGACGTTTGTCAGAGTGTATAAAATGAAACGTTCAAAAAAGCAGCTTTCTTTAACAGCCATCTGAGTATGAACAAAGTGATGAAAAACACTGTACACACATCAGAGTATTATAATGGTGCAGACTGTATTTATGAAAAAAATAAATTAAAAAAAAAACATGCTTTTCAAAATGACCCTTGTGTTTGTCAGGGCTTACAACAACATTTTTAGCATTTATAGGCATCTTTTAACTTGTATTCCCACTTCCCTTTCAAAGAGTAATGCATGGATTTAGCATTATACTACTTGACTAAAGGAAGACCATACAACTGATGCAGATATATCCTCTTTTATTCCATATATCCTTTCTTCTTCTCCATCTGAAGCCTCATAAGGATTTATACAACTTCTTTTCACATGTGCAGTAGTTCTATACAAGCAGACTTTGAGGTTTCTCTTTGGAAACACTGTCTCCATACCAGCTACACAAAGGCGTTCTTAGTTATTCCAGGCAGTGACTTGGTAGTTTTCATTTGCGTGTTTACATATAGTGGTACACCTTTAAGGTTAAATGCAGGCTGATAACTCGGACCACCTTCTGATACATCAACATGAAAAACACACAAGCATCTGCATATGTGAGGATTGATACACATGTTATTAAAGCTAATAAACAGCATTTTGGGAAAACCTAAAGGTATGGAAAAAAGGAAAGATAAACAGAAAGACAGAAGCACAATATGAATGAAAGTGCTTGTTAAGAGTGTAAGGCACTGCTCACGAACCATTACTCATGAATACAAAGTAATGGGGAGTTGAGGTTTAACTTGCCAGAAATAAAAAAAAATGTACTTCCTTTTTGAGAGGTGTCAAAGAAATAGCGATGTGTTTGAGTTTTTCCTCAGGAAGTGGGTGAATACAGGGCAAGATAGAGAAAATAACACAGAAGGTAAATGCTTTGCTCTTTTAGCTGCCATGACAGCACAGTTAGATTAGAATAGAAAACATGTTCCAGTGAGATAAGAGTGAACATTACACCTAAAAGAGGCTACTTGTGAACATGTACTTGCACTTTGTTTGGTGAACACATACACAAAATAGTTGCTGAGATATTGCTTTTTAAAGTATATAATTCACATTTGAATATAAGCAAATTAGTTTGAAAGAAGCTTGGATCTTTTTGGATTTCAAGTCTTTACACTTTTCTTTGTCTCATTGAAGAACTTTCCGCTGGTCCATTACTTTCTCCTTGAGTCCTGATAAGGAAACAAAACATTCACGTCATAAAAACTTACAAATATATACATAAAACTTAAAAAGTATTTAAAAAAATGCACCACTCTCATAGTACTCACAGTGTATTTGTTTGGTCTGTAGTCCCATTCTCCGCTGAGAATAAAGCAGAATATTTCAATGTAAAACACAACATACGATACACAGATGAAGAGAAGTGTCTGTTTCTGTCTGATTACCTGCTGTGCTGTTTTTCTTAGACTGGCTTTTCTCGTAGAGCAGAATGATGGCGACCAGGACGATCACCTCGATCACTATGGCGACGAAGGGCTTCAGAGGCTCATGGAAGCTGATGACCTTCAGCAGTAACAGTGGAAAATTGAAAAATACTCAATTACAAGAAAAAGTAAAACACTTTACCTAAAATACAAGTAGAGAAGTATTGCAGGCAAAATGTACTTTAACTATACAAAGTTAAATGTGATTTGTACATTTTTAGATAGTTAGTTTTAACTTCTTCATTAGTTAATTTACGTGGTGTTTCGCAACAAGCTCCTACTCACAAGTCACAGGATAAATCTGAGCTGTATTGAAATGTTTAATGGGGAAGAAGAGAAGAAAAAACGTCTCTGATCTTTTTGTACAAATGATGGAAAGTCCTTGGGTCTCAAACTTAATGTTAAAATGAAACCTGCTGAGAAGAGTAATGTGGACAGTGCATTGTTCTCAACCGTTATGGCTTGTGACCAAACACCACTAGTTAAGCACAGTGTTTGAGTAAATGCACTTATACTTTCCACATCTGACCTTCAGCTCTACGTGGCTCATGCTGGTGCTGATGGCGTACACCGCCCCGCAGAAATACAAGCCTCCGTCGGTCTCCACCAGGCTGGACACCACTAGTTTGGTCTTCCTTTCTTCATTTTTGATTTCATATCGAAGAGGCTCTTCAGCTGCAATAATCTGCTTCTGGAACGATAAAGAATGTGAAATGGGTCAGTGGCCATTTATATATATTTACATTACATTTTAATGTGTTGATTTTTTTTGTTGCAGATTCACAATCTTTAACTGTGAAACAAAAATAAAACATCTGAGTTTGTTTTTGAAAGATTTGTTTTGGGCCACCAGTGCCTTTATTGAAGAGACAGGAACAAAGCTACATCGCTACATTGAGTTTTTGTAACTGAAAATACTTTAAACAAAGTCAATATTCTGAATATTATTACAGATTTACTTTCATCCATAGACACCTGCACACGTGTTTTCAATTTGCCTGATTAGACACATCTTGAGAACAGTTAAAGAAGAGGTCTAATCAGCCAATTAAGTGAAAACACCTGTGTGTACAACATGAGTGTGTAGGGCTGTACCGTGCAGATGGCATTATTCAATCTTTATTCAAAAACAAAAATGTATGGTGTCAATTCAAATGTCACAATTGGCCTAATCTCATTTAGCCACAGCTCTGTGCAGCTCACCCACCTTGTCTGTACCGTTCGCTCTGTACCAGTACCAGGTGCTGGGCTCTGGTTTGGTCTCCTCCATTTTGCATGTGATCACCACAAAGTCCCCCACATAGCTGACTATCGGCTTGTCCCGCACGTCCCCGATCTGTGGAGCTGTGGGGACAACAGGGGGAAAGAGCATGGTAAAAACACAGCTTGTTGTACCATTCAAACAGAGTTACTCAGAGTAGTTATTGATATTCATTATAATGAAACAACAGGGACTTGCTGATACATTTGCAATGCATACAAATGTGATTAATATAACTAAATAATTAGATTTGTACCTGCCAAAACAAAGTCTATTTTGGCTTTACTTCCAAACTCGCATGTGTAACTTCCAAGGTCTTCTTCATTGACAATGCTGAACCTGTAAGCAAAAATATATACAAACCATATTATGTTAGATTTAGGACAATTAAAAAAAAGAAGTGATTTTGGGGTAAAACCTGACTATTATGCAACACATTAATATGATGACAGGTCTCCCTTGTAAAAGAGATCGTTGATCTCAATGGGATTTTTTACCTGGATAAATAAAGGCTAAGAAGAAGATGAATAATTTAAATGTGAGTGGTAGGCATTTAATGTGTTTTACTTTCAGGTAAATTAAATAAAGTACTTTCTTCTATTGAAATAAGGTAGTTATACTAGAAAAACAGCAAAATATGTCTAAAATTGTACATTAGACTGAAATAAAAAGTAAAACAAAGTCATTTTCTCTAGCTGCTGTACATTAAAAAATAATATTTTCTACAAATTCTAACAATATATGCACATTATTGACTATTTTTGTAAATGATGATGTAAAAATGCATAAACGTGAGTAGATTGAGGCCTATCAAAAGAGACAAATTAGTTTAGGAAAAAGTTCAAATTACTTGAGCTAATGGATGAAATAGTTGCCATGTGAAGTACTTACACTCGTTTGAGATTATACTGATCGTTCTCCATCGGCACTGTTTGATTGCTGTTCTTTACCTCCTCGCCATCTTTCCTCCAGAGCCCCGTTATGTTTGCCAGTTTGTCCTGGTTACCTGTCCAGGTGCACTCCAGAGCCAGATTCACAGGGTTCAACAGCTCCACCTTCTCTGTGTGGCTCTCACCTGCGTGGAGCACATGCACAATGAAAATTCATAATGAACAAACATTCACAATAACCTAAAAAAAACACTTATCCCTGCCATCATAGGCTACAATTGAAAAATAGTGACCTTTAAGAGCAACGCTCCTGACATCTGTTGGCAGTTGATCGATAGGAATCAGCGGCGGGGGGGTAGGGCCAGGTGTCTCTGAAAGGAAAACAGGCAATTATATAAAGCACACAAAATGAACATCTAAATCTATCTGTACTGGCTTTTTTAAAAATTAAATTAAAGTTGTCTTTAGGGAATTACTTGGTGGTTATGAGCTATGTGTTTAGCTGGCCCCACCCCCATGAGTATTACATCACTAGAAAGCCCAGGAGGTTTATTTTTACACAGAACATTAGGACAAAAATAAACTGCATGCATGATGTATGAGATAAAGGCTCCAGTGTGATGTCCCCCATAGAGGACAGAAATTAAAATACGGGTTTTTAGACAACTTAACAATAAGTGTCCCCTTCAAAGTGTTGTTGTTAAGTGTTTATTTGGAGGACTATCTATCTATCTATCTATCTATCTATCTATCTATCTATCTATCTATCTATCTATCTATCTATCTATCTATCTATCTGTCTGTCTGTCTGTCTATCTATCTATCTATCTATCTATCTATCTATCTATCTATCTATCTATCTATCTATCTGTCTGTCTGCCTGTCTATATATATATATATATATAGATAGATATATAGATATATATAATATAAATAAACTGCTTTTAATTTCTTGAGGCCTGTGGAAATGAACAAATAACAAAGTTTCCATTCAACCCGATTATTTTTCTTTTTTGAAGTTATTTATTTCAAAGTATCAAAGCTATACAAAAAAAATACAAAAACTACTCTTGAGCTATTACATTAAGGACAACTGGGTCCAACCAAATGCAAATGTGTGTTGAGTAAAACACAATAAATTGAATCTTCAGTAACATGAGAATCCCTGTTATATCCCTGATCACAGCTATATACAATTATTTCAAATCAATATTTTTTTTAAATCCTTGAATAATAATAATATATTTTCTTTTTTTATGGAGTTTGGGATGTGATCATGGCTGTCTCAGACTATCACATAAAAAAAAACAGACATTGAATATCAGGAATTTCCAGACAGTTGTACATGATATTGTGGAAGATATGTGACGTCTTCTTCTACTCCTCACAAGGTTACAGACCATTTAGAGGGGGAAAGAAAAAGGCAGAACAAGGTTTTAACACAACCCCACACAGTCAATAATAAACCCAAATGGCTATTTACTTGTATTGATGTGTCTGCAGGAGACGAGAAGCAGGA